TTTAATATATATATATATATATATATATATATTATAAAAGGATATCGTTGTTTTTCTGGAAATTAAAAGGCAAACATACAAACCATCACATCATCTTTATTTTAATTTAATTAATATTCAAAATTTTAGCATTTTGAATTCCATATTCTTAATATTTTAGTTCTATGATCTTATATTCTTATTCACATCATGATTTTGTTTATTATAATGTAAAAAATTTCTCATAATAAATTTAAATAAAGTTTTTTTAAAAAAATATTTATTTATTTATTCTTATTCAAATAAACTATTGAGAATGTAATGAGAAAGAGTTTCATTAATTTTTTTCTTGTAGAAACAAATAATAAAACGTATTTAAATTTCTAAGTTAATTAAAATATTCAACCATTTTATTTAATGTCTTAAATGTTTTAATTTGACGTCCACATAGTTCGTTTTCTTTTTAAATCAAATTTCAAAAAATTAGCTACAATCAATTTTAAATTTTATTTCCCACAATTTGAGTTTCTAAAAAATAACACTCCATTCAAAATGAATTGAAGATTGTTAAGAAAAATATTAAGTGATACTACATATATAATATGTAGGTTGCAAAACTCTTCTTCACCTTCATCTGATGAACTATACCTTCAAACAAAGCAAAGAGTGCAAATATTATTGTCGAAATAGTTTTTGAATATTAATATATGTGAAAATCGAATTGAAGAATATAAGTTTACGTGCTTTTAACCACATTAAGAAAATTGTAAATTATTCATCACTTCCCATCATCTTATATACAATTCATTAAAAAAAAACAATTGCAAACAAAGTAAAAATTAAAATATTTCAATTAAAATTATCAAATTCAATGACTATGCATATCATCTCGACATAAATCATGCAAATAATAACTCCGTGATATATATGAAATCATTTAAAATATGAATATCGAGCTATAGCTTCAAACTTTATCATGATAATTGTCCACATTCATAAGTTTAAATAGATAGATTTTAGGTGCTTCTTCATTCTTCGAAAAGTTGATTAAGTAAAATATTAATATTATTGAAGAATATTATTTCAATGACTCGCTAATTTTCATTTTTTTCTGAAATTAAACATTATCTATTTATTAGTTCTATTTAATAATAACGTTAAGCCAGTAACGTACAAATTTACAAAGTGATATGTTGTGAATACACACGACAATACAAAACAGACTTTTAAAAATAATAATTAAAAAATAATAAAAATGAAAAACATATAATCTTATTGGTTTATTGGTATTCATTCTTTTTTGACTTGAGAAATCATCTCAGTCATATAAGATACTTTATTTTGAAATTCTCACTTGGAGTTTCAATGCATTCATTTTTCCAGTGTCGATCTACTTGATACCTCTTCTTAAATGAATCAATTTTTTCCTATCTCTCATCCATTCTATTCAACAAAATATAATACTAAATAAATAAAAATTTGACAAAAATAAATCAATTATAAATAATATGTAGATATATTATTACTTTTGTTTTACAAAACTTGAAGGAGTGTAGTTTGTTTATCCATGATCCTTCAACTCTATAATTATTATGTGAGAATATGTTTTGAAATGGTTTTCCTCTTCTTCTTTTTTTGTTCTTTCTTTTGTAAAGTATACTTATCTTGGCGATCATAAGTAGTACCAATATTTGTCATGTTTAAAAAATGTACATCTTCTTCTTCATAAAAAAAAATCAACTATAGAATTGTATTGCTAGCATATATCCTCTACAGGTAAGATTCACTAATGTTCTCAAATCTTTCATTAAGTGATAAAATTGCAAAGACAACATAAAAATCATATTAACAAGATATTCAAAGGGAAAGTCTAACCTTTACATATTGTGTTCCCCATAAATATGGTCATCTAACACAAAATTAATATTATACACTTCTACTTTGATAGACATATTTGTTATTTGGACAATTAAAAAGCATGATAACTTTCATAAATTTAAAGTATAATATACTATCGATAATGAATTGTCACACACAAAACATACACAAATCTCATTAAGAGTGTTAATATAGTTAAAAGTAAAAGTCAAAATCAAAATCAAACACAAGACAAATATTTAGAGTCTTACATGGATGCAATCTTCAGATGTGGGACATAATATAAGCTTTAGTATTTATTACATCTTTTGTGCGAGTATAAGTCCAAGAAAAGCCTTGTTTATGATTGGTTAAGTACTGTAATTGTTGTGACACTCTGAAGCGCATGTGTATGTATTTTTGTTAGCTGTTCCCGATAGGCATATTTACAAAGGAAACTCTGTCGATCTTTTTAAAAATTCAGAGAGTTAGTCAAATTTTATGTTTTTAAATGGATAGAGAGAGGTGGAAGTTATTTAGGCGATCTCATCTAGTCTTGGACAACTATAAAACTCAAAGTAAGTCACTACCATCATTCGAGGACGGATGATCCTAAGTGGGGGAGAATATAAAACATCGAAAATCATATATATTATTAAAAATTGGAAGCTCCAACCTTCAAAGTTTGGTTACCATTTTGACCCTCTGCTAAATCAAAATAAAATTAATTTATTTATTAAATACTAATATTTTAATTACATAATGGTGGAATATGAAGTCCAAACTACACTTCAATTTTTAGGTTATGACATTATTATTATCATTGATTAGGTTAAATTCAATTAGAGTAGAAGACAAAATAATGAATGAAATTCTTCCAATTCAATGACTCTTTGAATTTTGAATCCAAAATAAAATTTATGTATCATGATTCAATGTGCTTCATTAATCAATTTTTGTAGGTGAAAAGACAGTTAAATATCACTATAACTACCAATAAATTGCTCCATATATCATTTTCTATCATCTATTTTTCTCTTTTCTTCTTCCTAGATAATGATATAGACATATGTTGTCAAGAAGCTAACTGAGGAGAAGAACAAATAGCTTCATTCAAAAATTAAAAAGAGAATTTTTCTAACAATATAGTTCAATTGTTAAGCTTAGAAGTATATGATATGCCCTATATATTCCCTTATATCTTTTTTATGTTAGCTTATGATTTTAAGTTTTTCTCTTCCATTTTGGAGTGAAGGTATGGTTGTTCAAAATAAATTTGATATGCAACCCATATATTTATGTAATTCTGGGAATTTTTTTCTTTGTTTTTGTGTTATTATTCTTCTAAGTGCTACTTAATTGACAAAACTTCTATTAATACATGATTAGTTTGATAATACTTGAATACTTTATGCAATATGATTTTGTTTAAATACAAGTAATTTAAATAAGGATTGCTAAAAGATTATTACTCTGAATGAAAGATTTTGATTGTGTTACTTTATCGTCTATGTACCATAGTGTTGCGAACACATACATATATTATTCATTTTCACCCCTTCTCTTCCATTTTTTTCTTTCAAAATTATACAATATTACATTTAACAATTTGATTTTCAAGTAAAAATAAGAGTTACATTTACATTTATGCGACACTAAGCCTAACAACTTTCTTAAACAGAAGCATTCTATATTAACGGTAGCTTTTCTCAGTGTTAAAATTTAAATGGTTGGTATGATGACAATTTTTCTTTTGGTCATTTTGGTTGTTTCTTTATAAATTTCTTCGACCCTTAATTGTTACTACGAAAAACTTTTCCTCAAATAAAAATCATGTAAAAAATAATATGAGAATGAAGTAATTAAGCTTCATTTTGTTTAGATTTAAGTAATATAAGTCAACAAGATCATCATTCTAATAAAAGTGGAAAGAGTTTAAGTCAAAAGTTGAATTACTAAAATGTCCTTTAAAAGTATATTTATCATTTAATTTAATTTTATTAGAATTAATTTTCTATTAAATTTAATTGGGAAGACCTTTCATCTACTTTTAGACCTGTACAAATTCTATGAACTTTTTATTTATAAGTTTAATATGTGTCATGTGTTTATTTTCTTTCACCTTTAGCTTCCATCCATTTAAACATCTCATATTCTTTATCAAAATTATATATATCTTATTCAATATTTAATTGATGCACATTAAATATTCTATATATGTCTTCGGTAAAGTTACACATTATAATTCTCCTTTTATAGGTCTTAATCAAATTCACAAAAATAAAATAAAAAATACACATGATACAAAACATAATTACACCAAAGGTATTTTTGGTTGTTTTGGAGGTAATATAAACATATGATTATCTTTCTCTACTCATTTTCTGCTTGAGTTTTGATAGTTAATAATGTTAGTTTTGCCAAATCAATAGGTAAATAAGAGATTGTACATTATACCAAACGAAACAAGGTCCAGTAACTTTTCTTATTAAAGGAGAAATGAGAAATCAAAGTAAGAAAACCAAGGATTTCATTGGGGAAGTATTTCTCCCTTTTAGAGAGTTCGCCAAGTAGGATTAACATATCACTTTAAGAATTTGCACTTCTTCTTTAGTATATAATTTATAACTCAATGTTTCTTAATACCAATAATTATGTAATTTCTTAAAATTTTGTGGTCAATGAAATTCGGTTACATGCGCAACGTGCATGCCCATAAACAATTATGTATATACATTAAAAAGGGGTGTAATTTTATTGTTAGTTGATATATGAAGAGAGATTTAAGTTATCCCTATTTAATTATTAGTGTTAGTTGTGGGACCACTTTAACTTTTCCTTAAAGATTTGGAACTCTAAAAGGAGAAAGTTAAGGCATCACTTCCTCTAGAGAAAAGAACGTGGCTCTTCACTCTTGTCCTCTCTTCTTCTCTTCTTCCTTCAGTGGTAATATGCAAATTGGGAATTAAAGCAATAAGAATTTTCTTGAAGAGAAGTGTTTGTGATCTAAATTGGTAGACAACTATTATTTTTTGTTCAAAAGTTGTGGAAATTCATCAAGAACTCAAGTTGGGTTGATTTCAAATAGGTAAATTTTCTACTCCGCACTTGAATATAATTATGGTTTACTTATTTGGGATGTAGTGTAAAGTAAAAATCACCATCTAATTGGGATTATTGCACTACCTTTCGGAATGGGTTTTGTGATGAATTACTGTTCATGGAAAGGGAATAATATGAATAGTGAATTTTTGGATATTTCTATTTATAGGCATAATTAAGATTGAACCTTGTAAAGTGGGAAATTATATAAGGAATTCACTCCAAATGGTTATTAAGAATCTGATTAGTTTTAGAATTAGTGGGTATTATTGCAATGAATTGTTGGATAAATCTACGGATTATTGATGAACAGATATATATATATATATATATATATATATATATATATAGTTTAGTAGTTGATTTTGTTGGATTAATTGGGTGCCTATAGGATGTTTGAAGGGATTTGATGACTATGTGAGGGATGCAACTTTGCTGGTTTAATTGTTGAAGACTTGTGATACTATCTTTAGTTTGGAAAGAATCCAAGGTATGTGAAGCTAAAACTTATCCTTACCTTTAAAGGACAACCTTATATCACATGTTTCTTTTGTAAAGGTCAAAATCACGTTCCATTTCCCTTTCTAATTGTGAAAGCGAATATGTATTCATATTACTCCTTTCAACTTGAGTTTCACAATATTTTATATGACCATAAGTATCATTACTTGAAATTTTTAGAAGTCATATGACCTATCTGTCACTCGTTAGAAATAAAGCAATAACCTTAATATATTCACATATATATGTTGGTATATAGTCAAAAAACAAAGCGCGAGCCACCATTTGAACGACTAAATATTATATTTAAGAGAATTTAGTGATATATAGAATGTCTACATGATAGGGTATCTATCTTTATTGTAAATTCACTATCATAGGCCTTTTAAGGATTAATTAATAATGGATAGCAACAGGAGGGTATTCATAGATTTTACTTGATACACTCGTGCAATGCGATTATTTGCACATGATTGAGACCAAACCATTATAGTGAGCCAAAATGATGTGGTGTACCTGCCCTTGTGGCATCATTTGCATTTGGAGTCAGCACATATGTCATGTTCTAGTTTCCCCTTACTCGAGTCGATACATGGCACATATGCCCTGCAAGCAGACCCTCATAGTGAGCCAGCGAAGGGTGTACCTCCTACAAGACCACAATTAGACTATATGCATAGAGGCATAGGGATAAAATTTTAGAAGATTATATCTTACGATTGACCTGGATCGCCTTTGATAGGTCATCGCGTGATCAGTTGTATTAGAAATAGTTGAAGCATTTCACTGATTAAAACGATAGGTTTATACTGTAATTGAAACTTTCTTTGGATATATTATATGATCAACTAATTAAGTTAGTGCATAAGATACTCTTATATATACGATATCTACTTCTTATGTGCTCTTAATTCTTTCGACTTAACATTTGATTCATATGAGCTTTCATACTTGTCTACCTATTATTCTGTCTACTTTCCATACAAGTACATGTTGTATATGTATTGACGTTCCTGTATATATGGCACTCCATTTCATTGTAAATAGAAGATCAAGTTTACAGGGCAAAAGACATCCATGTTAGGTTCTTTTGTCGACTTCAATTGGTGTTTTGAAGAGCTCAATCTCTATACAGATCCAACTTATGTCTAGCACTTTTGATTATATGTACAAGTTGCTATTGGTTACATCGAGGTCTATCTCGACAAGGTATGGCAGTACAATGTATTAAATCTACTAGACGCTTCCTAGACATTGTGATGTGTATCATGTTGTGCAATTTTTAGCCCAACAACTTTATAGCCTATATTTGTAACATGTGTTGGTTATATTCCGCTCATTTATTAGCTTATTTTTAGAGCAAGTGTTCATACGACTCTTGTCCTTGCTCTTTTTTGGGGCGTGACAATTGTAGATTACAACAATACATACTAACTTATAATCATCACAAAACTCATCATATCCAAAACCATATCTAAAATGGATATTACTCGTCAATCATTGTATAGACTGAGAGAATTTGTTGTACTTTTAATTGTTGGATGCCTTAAAATAAAGTCTCTTATCCCACCGCCCAGACAAAACAATCTATTGATAAACCCTACAATAAAAAAGATATACTGGAATTTTCCATGGGACAATTCAAGTCATTTGTCTCAATAACATAGTTATTATAGAATAAAGAGTTAAAAGAACAGTCCTGAAGATTGTTATTAGCCATATCCAATTTCATCATGACCCTATGGTAAGTACACTTCTTGTTATCAACAAATACCCTGAGATGATCCTTGATGAATTCAAGGCTAGATATTAAAGAAAGATAAGATTTCAAAACAAACCTAAATAACTAGAGATATTTCATTGAAAGTCTAGAGAGCATTTCAGTGATAAGTTCTGTTGGAAGACAAGGAATTGTCAAGATTGAATATTTTATTGAAGTTGATTAAAGTTCAGCAAAGTTTGTATGTTTGCTCCTATTTGGGGTTTATGAGAGGCTTCAGATGCCATTTGGATATTAGAAATATTGCACCAAAGTTGATGGAAATTAACAATGGTGGTTAATTGGTTTGCTCTGTTTTTTGTTTAATGGATGTTAATATTTCCCTCAGATTCCATTTCGATTGCAGAAACTTTTCAGCTTTCAGAGAAGGTTTGATTTTCTTGCTTTTTATGGAAGATTCTTAAGTTTCCTACACGTTTTACTTGTTGAATGAATTACTCCAAAATGAAACTTGTAGACTGATGATATTGTTTTTGCATGGATTAGTAATATTTCTTTTTTATGTATTTCCATTGATTCATTGACTTGATTCTTAAGTCAAATAGAGTTTCACTTGAAACAACATAAGACCAGGGATGTTATCTGACCCGTAGTTTGTATGTTTGCTCCTATTTGGGGTTTATGAGAGGCTTCAGATGCCATTTGGATATTAGAAATATTGCACCAAAGTTGATGGAAATTAACAATGGTGGTTAATTGGTTTGCTCTGTTTTTTGTTTAATGGATGTTAATATTTCCCTCAGATTCCATTTCGATTGCAGAAACTTTTCAGCTTTCAGAGAAGGTTTGATTTTCTTGCTTTTTATGGAAGATTCTTAAGTTTCCTACACGTTTTACTTGTTGAATGAATTACTCCAAAATGAAACTTGTAGACTGATGATATTGTTTTTGCATGGATTAGTAATATTTCTTTTTTATGTATTTCCATTGATTCATTGACTTGATTCTTAAGTCAAATAGAGTTTAACTTTAGACAACATAAGACAAGGTTTTTTATCTCACCAAGTGATACATAACCATTGCACCTAGTTCTTTGTGAAGTTTAAATATTTGAAGATCAACCAAAATGTAATAGGATTCTTTTAGAATTTCTTAAGAAATCCTATTATATTATTATTGATCTTCAAATATTGAAACTTCACAAAGAACTAGGTGCAATGGTTCTGTATTACTTGGTGAGATAAAAAACCTTGTCTTATGTTGTCTAAAGTTAAACTCTATTTGACTTAAGAATCAAGTCAATGTATCAGGGGAAATACAAAAAAAAAGAAGAGAAAAACTTCTAATCCATGGAAAATCAATGTAATCAGACGACTAGTTCAATATGGGAAAAATTCACTGAACACGTTAAACGTGTAGGAAACTTAAGAATCTTCCACAATTGCAGAGAAAGACAATCAAACCTTCTTCTTTAGAAGCTCAAAATTTATGCAACCGAATTTGAATCTAAGGAAAATTTAAAAATCCATTTAAAAAAAAAACAGAGAAACCTATTAACCACCATTTTTAATTTTCATCAAATTTGGTGCATGATTTCTAATATCCAAATGATATCTGAAACCTCCCATAAACCCGCAAATAGGAAAAAACACACCAACTTTACGGAATTTAATCAACTTCAATGAAATATTTAATCTTGATATTCCCTTCTCTTCCAGCATAACTCATCACCGAAATGCTCTCTAGCCTTCAATTCTCTCTCAAGCTCCTAGATTAAAACCAAAATATTTCCCACCTTTGTGTTGAAAGATTATTTCCCAACACTCCTAGATTAAAACCAAAATATTTTTCTCCAATAGAAGGATATTCTACCATTCCCCGTTACTCATCAGGCATATCCATATAAACGATGGTCTAGGTCTCCTTGACCTCTATACTCACCAAGACCACGTAACCACTTGGAAATTAGAAGTTGAGTTTGGAAGGAAAAGTTGCACAAAATTTGGCACTAGTGTAGGTTCTACTAGTTGACCTACGACTAATAGAAAGTTCTACAGGCCGTAGGTGGGAAGTCATAGGACTTGGGTTGAGTTTTGGAAAATTTTAAGTCTCAAATGATGGTCTATAGATGAACAAGACAGACTGTAGGAATCGTTACAGGCCGTAGAAGTGATTCGTAGAGGTGATCTAGACTTAGTGAGATTTTGGACATAAAGTTGTGTTCTACAAGTGGTACCTACAAACCCTAGAATGGATGACGACCCATAGAAGGATCTTGTAGAAGTTTTACAGGATTTCTATACCTAGTACATGACTATACGATTGACCAGGATGGTTCGTAGAATGTTTTATAGACAATAGGTAGGAATAGTAGGAGTCGTCCGACATATTTTATTTGTTTTGGTCTTTTCCTACTCATTTAACTCCTAAACTACATCCTTTCTAGAACATACTAAGGCCCTATATCTAATTGTATACCCCTAAGCCTTCCCATCCTTCACATTCACTGAAATCCCAAATTTCCTCCAAGTTCATCCTCTCCCAATTCTCTCTCAAGCTCCAAGGTGAAGAACTAGGGTTTCAAAGGCTTCAAAGATTGTCTCTCTTGCTTTTAGGTCTTTGATCATCAAGGTATGTGAGAACTTCACCAATGTATTCCTTCCATCCATTGGGTTCCCAATGAATCTCCATTCTCTAATTCAATTTCACATAATTTCTAGGGTTTTATGTCAAATCTTCATGGGTCCAATTTACTATGATTCAATTGTTATTATTTGATCTTATTATGCATGATATTAAGTCAATTAAATGATTTTTGCTTGATTTCATATGGACACATGCCTAAACCTATTCTATAAATATGAACTATGCTTATGAACTTATGAACTATGATTATGAATCCATTAATGTTTTTTTATGAAATTGATGACTTATTACGAAAGAATGCTTTTAAGATAAGTTTTGATAATTTGTTGAAGGTTTTTGCACATTGTTACAGAATCGTGATTTAGATGCTTAGAAAGGTAAGTTTGTATTATGAACAAGTTTATGAAATCACTGTTCTGAAATGAGTCATTCTAATATGAACTTATGATTGGATCAATAGTCTTAAATGTCCCTTTTAAAAGTATTTTCATATGATTATGATTATGTTTCTCTGTAGGGATTTACCTAGCATAGAGAGGACTTTTGAATGGAGGCCTTACATTTAGTAGAGGTTTGGTCTTTAGTAGAAATTCCTTTGTCCCAAACTATGTGCCCCTGTAGGATTTTCTTTAATGATCTAGCTAGTGTGATCCACTTTAGCACTAATGAATAATACAAATTTCTACCTTTGCAAGTAGACCCTCTCTTTCAGGGGTGAGGGTTACACCACATTCTATGTTATCACTCACATGGTCTTATTGTCGGTTAACGGAAAATCCACAAATGAACTATGTTTTCTTCAAAAGTATTTTTGAAAGCTTTCCCTATGGTTTTCAAGTGTGCATTGACCTTTTTCGTGACTTATGATTTCTCTTTAAAGGAGTTTATTTGTGTTTGACTTGGTCATTCACATTGTGCTTAACTTAACCATTTTCCATGTTTTATGTTTTCATGCATTTCCCCTCACTTAGTACATTCATAGTACTAATGCATATCTGTGCCTATATTGTCTCATAATATAGGGTCTGGCGCTCCTCCTCCTGGCCATGGCTAGATCGGGATTGCTCAACTTACTATTCGTAGTGGTGAGTCCTCATGGTTCGAGAGCGAAGCCTAGATGCTTTTATTATTTTTGGTTGTCTTTCAGTTTCAGACTTATACATGGTGTATGCGTTACGTCCCAACCACTCCAATAATGTTATAAATGTTATGTCAGACTTAGTAGTATTTCACGTATTCTCTTATGAACTCTGTTGGTAACTTTTATGTCATTGTATGAGTTGAGACTTAGATTGCTTATTCTCTCTTATTGTATTTCCTTTACGTCATGCTTATGTCAAGTGGTTTGTTTAGGGTCTCACTAGATCCTATTCTCCGTGTCACACCAAAGGGGTACTTTGCGTCATGACAGGCCTTAAGAAGTAGTCCAATGAAGCTTTCCATTTATAAATGTATCCTAATTCAAGGAGCACACCCTATCCCCGAATTCATTCATATTTCTCCAAGAATCAATCTTTAAACTAATTTTTTACTTCAATAGTAGACAAACTGCAACGTTGGTAAATTACAACATTGCATACTACATTATAAAAGCATACATGAAATCGAAATTAATCGTCAATCCACATATATAATACTAAAATTTCTTGTACTTTTTATTTGTTGAATTCATTAAAAACACGTCTCTGGGCTGCAAGGCAAATTAACATATTGACAAAACCCATAATCTAGAAAGATACACATGAGTTTATTATGGGATAATTCAAGTTAGATTCCTGAATAACATATTAATTATAAAATAAAGAGCTAAAAGAATAGTCCTTAAGATTGTTATTAGGTCGATCTAATATCTTCATGATCCTATGGTGAGTGAACTCCTCGTTATAAGTGGATTCAGAAAGACCGATCTTGATACATTTGGGGTATATATATTAAAAAGAGTCACAATTTAGAAACATATAAGTCAAGATTTAGAAACAGACCTGAATTGCAAGAGGAATTTAAATGAGAGCCTTGAGAGAATTTTAATAGTAAAATCTGTGGGAAGAATAGGTATTGTAAAGATTGAATATTCCTTTGTATTTAGTGTTGATGGGAGGCTTCAGATTTCCATCTGGGTATAAGAATATTAATTCCCAATATCTTGCTATGGAATGGTTTTTTGTAGGTTCAGTGATGCTATTTTATCCTCTTTTTTCCTTCAGAAAATGGGTTTGATTTGACAATGAATCAAAGAGATTAAATAAAACTCTTTAGTGTTGTCATAATATTTTATTGAGATAATTACATGCAACCCTAGATTATTCATAACTTGGTCAACATTTTAAATGCTTACATCAATTGGCCCAAAGGAGGAGCTAAAGAACCCTAGAGTATTGTCTTGGGTCCACATCAATTTTCAGTCTCCAAAAATCCAATTTCCGAGTGAAATGATAGATCTTGATGAGCCAAATCCAACTCAACAATAATAATATAAAAATTACATCCACAATTCTGGAAAAAAATATTTTGTATATTTATTTTATACAAAATGTACATTATTGTATACGAAATTGTGTTTTGGGCTATATTCTTGCAACGTAGGTTAAATAACTATATTTTATGAAATTTTCCTTTAAATATGTTATGTGATAGAATGAAAGAGTTGACAAAAAGAGAAAAACTTTTTTTTAATGGACTAAAAAAGAAAAGAAAAAGTAACAAAAACAAATTAAATAAAAATAATATTTCATTTACAGATGGAAATATGAGAAAGAAAAAATAACTTGGTTTCGAAATAACTATTTTTTTTTCAAAAAATTAATAGGCATTTTTAATAATATGTAGAACATATTTATTATAAACACTTTTATCTATTTGAAGTCTTTCCCAAACTATATTACATAATAGTTAAATTTCTCCCTCTTTTCATTAGAACTAGTATAGTACATGTGCCATGCGTAGATTGCTTCAAAGAAAAAAAGAGCGTCTAGAGATAAGAAAAATAGGATTATAGGAAT